TCAGCAGGCTTCCTGATGCTGTCTAAAACCAGATCCACAATCTCTTTGGCAATGGTGTGGTGCCCACGAGCGAAACTATTTGCATATTCCTTTCCGGAAATGAGCTTTTCCCGGTGGAAAGCTGACGGTACGTGCCTGTGCGAACTTCATCCACGACGATAGGCTCCATATCCACCATCACGCAGCGTGGCATGAGCTTGCCCGCTCCGGTCTCATGGTATGGCTCACGGCGTACCCCCTACGGGGTACTGGGGCTCCAGCTATCAGACTCGCTGTTGAGTCATTCGATCCGGAACCTTGAGCCAAAATGGCTACGGATATAGATAGATAGATATATATATATATATATGTACATCAAGTTGCAAGTCGAGCCTGCCTGGTAGACGATGGGAACGTCGAAAAGATCCTCGTCGTTCCCGGTCAGTTACCGAATCTGGATGGATCCCTTTATCCCGAAATTCATAAAGCCTTGTACATCGCCATCTTCGCGAAAGGACAGTGGACCTGCCTTGGCTCGTCGGAAATCACAAGACTTCATATTCTGGGCGTACATGTCGCACAGAAGCTGGCAAGGGAACTCTGAACCCACCCGACCCTGAACCGAGTAACTCAGGGGTCCCCCAACTTCGGGATTTTTATAATCCGGATCCCAGTATTGAGTTTAGGAGTTTCTCAAAAAAGGCTTCCGTACCACAGTCCCCGTTTTTAACTCCCAGGTGCTGTTAAGATTCCTTCTCGCGCGGCAGTGCCACGTTGAGGAAGCCTTGGCCATGCTTCGCTCGGTTCTTGAGTGGCGGCAGCAGAAGCTCTCGAAAGTTAGAGGTATGCACAGGGTTTCAGACATCTCCGGTGTATCTTACTTCGGGGGCTTACTATGCAGGATTACATTATTTCGGGTTTTTGCTAGTTCTTCATTGAGGTCCCCGATTTGTTTTGTTCTTCTGATCGTCGGACGTTAATTTGCGCTTCGGGCGGTAGAGCCTTACGGGGCCTCTTGCTAAGAAGCCTTCTGCTTGAACTCCCAGGAGCGATGCCGCTAATGTGCTGCCACGCTGGGAGAAGCGCCGGCACGAGAAGTTAGATCTGCACTGGAAGGCCCTCGGGCGTTCCGGAGTCGACCACGAGGGTGATCCTGTGGCTTCTGGGCTCTTGTTAAGGACCTTACTTTAGTTTAGGTTGGTATATTTATAACCTCTTTACGTAGCAAGAACCAAGGTTTTCGAGCGTGTCGGGCAGAACGACTTTCCAGGCCTGCTGAGCTGCGATCCGGAGTTCCTCAAGCAGCACACCATTTACAATGCAGAGTGCGTCTTCGCTAGCCTCGAACTCGCAAGACGAGAGAATTTGAAGCGGCTTGGCATCCCGCAATTCACAGTGGATCTGCGAAGGAAAGATGATGGTAGAACTAGGTGATGTTGCCCAAAAGGTTCGAGGTTGGGCCTTCCTTAGATGTGTTGAACTGAGGAAAGGCAGTAGCCGCGGCTTTCAGTTCACGGTGGTAGTGGACATGTACGGACTTGACCTGGGTTTCATGGATCGGCACCTCCTGGGCTTGCTGCAGACACTGGGAGTTCAATTGGGTTCAATCTTTTGGTTAAAGTCAAAGTTGATCTTGTTGCCGTTTGATCGTCTTCGCAGGGGTGCGAAGAGAAGCAACCGAGGACGCTGGGCCGAGTGGAATCGGACAATTATCCTGAGGCCCTCAAGCGGATCATCGTCATCCGGCCTCCCTGGATCTTCCCCTGGATATGGCGTGTGTGTCGCCCTTTCTTGGACCAGGGAACAATCGAGAAAGTCGAAGTGGTGGACGACAATGAGACGACAGAAGCACTCCTAAGACACATTCCTGCCGAGAGTGTGCCGAAGGCACTCGGTGGAAAATGGTTTGATGGCAACGACGACTATTGTTCCAAGTTTATTGTTCCTGGTAGCATTTTGCCTCAGGAGATCATAGACATGACTTTTTCCAGCATCAAAGCTTGACGGTGCTTGAGGCTCCGGAGGAGTCTCCTTTGTGGGCAGTTTGACCCCACCTCTCTAACCCTCAACATTGGGGGTGCCTTTGACATTACTGCCCAAATGCTCCCGATGGCACACTAGCTAGAGTCCGACGAGAGAACGTGGCAGAAAGAGATGGGGACGCCCTTGGGAAGGTTGGTGTCCAAGCAGTCCTCTAAACCTTACAGGGTTTGCTTCGAGAGGTTGCGGGGGGTCGCTTGGGCTCTAGATGCAAGCCTTAGGAACAACAACATACATGGTCAGTATCAGTAGCTGCCCTCTCCTTTATTGGCCTGGCAAGTTATCCGCAGGTCCTCTAGTTTAGAGGCGCAGGATGTAGGATTCCGGCCCATTTAAGGAGCAAAGAACTACTTCTTTGCCTCGTTGCTTGAGGCCCAGCCGCTGGTCGACTACGGCAGTGACTCTGGGGAAGAGCTCCCGGCGGCTTCAGACGGCTCCGGAAAGAAGGGCCATCAAGCTCGTGCAATGTCCATACATTCGTAAGTTCCGCCCAGAGCCTATCAAAAACCACCAGAGAGCCGTGCAGGCCCAAAACCCCCCGCCCCGTGACCCCGCAGCATGGGCCATCCATGGGTTGGGGTTTCGGGCAAGGTCGGGCCCCAAATCAACCAAAGCTGGCATACTACTTGCTGTCAGCTCTTGCAACACAATCTGTATTACAGCCGCCACAGAGGGTACATGGAGGATCAGGTGACTTTCGTAAGCAAGCTCTTTAGTACCTCGTTGGGGGTCACAAGCACGATATAGCTATAGTTCCCAACATGTTAACACTACCCTTCAAGTCGCCTGATCTTTCAAGTAGGGTCCTGAAGACTGCTTCCAGCTGCTGGCTTCAGTCGGCCTCTGGCAGCTCGGTACGCAGTTGGAGGATGGCTTGCGGGCATCAGATAAAGGCATTCCCCAATATCCCAAAAGTGTTTAGATAAGAAGTTAAGCAGGGTATACTCTGGTTCAGGGCGTCGAAGGGAAGCACTAGGCTTTCTCGGGCTCCTGAACAAGGATGCGAGGCTGAAGTCGAGGTAGCAGTTGAAGTGCCATGTTGTGCGGATGTTGAAGTCTTACGAACCGGCAAAGAGACGAATCCTCTGCATGATGGCCACAACGACACTAGTGTGCTACACTCGCTATGATTGGCATACGCTGACTGCGATCTGCATGACTTGTCCAGTGGTTCCGCAATTTGGGTCGCTGAGTGTCAAGAGAGTGTTTCCGATAGACTATTTTGAAACAGATGAGTCTTGCTAGTGGGACTCCAATGTGAGATCCAAGTGCTTTGATCCAAGGCCCGGCGATGTTTTCGTGGGTTTTGCTCTACTTTAGTCTTTGGGTGGTTTTGCAAGTAGGGCCTTGGTCAATCATGTGCCTGTAGCAAGCTCGGACCTGTACCTGCCATGCCTGCTTGTGCGAGTGTGTGAGTCGAAAGAGACGAATCCAGGGCAAGATGCCAAGCCTCCTTGCACTCGTCCCGTACCAGGCTGAAATGGCCGGGCCGCTGAGGCTGCTTGTGGTCACACTCCTGTGCCAGGTTTGCTCGGCCTCTTGGCAGTTGAAACTGAAGAATCCCGACCCCTGCACTTCCGAGTCCGGAGCCTTGTCATAAAAGTCCCGACCCAATCATGGACCCAATTTTGAGAAACCCCCACGTGTTTTGGATACGCAAGGCACCGGCACCCAGCAGCGGTGAAGCTTGGCACTGATTAGGTGCCCCCTGTGAAAGGCAGCGAGTCGGCTTTGGGTTACCATTGGGGTGTTGATATGTCCTGAAAGAAGCACGGTGGCTGGATTTTATTATAGAATAGTTGTATGGGGACTTTTTGGGGGCATTCAGGGTCCCTTTGTTCGTTGTGTAGGCGTGACCTACAAGGCCAGAAGGCATATTGCAGAACTGTGGTGATATCAGGCAGCCTGGCAGTCACTGAAACGATGCCGTTTACAGTACCAACAGAATAGATGGGAAGCGCAAGAGTACCGATTGCAAGAAGTAGTCACTACTCAAATATACTGGAATCCAAGTGGAAGAGTATCCCGCAACTCTACCATCCTAAAACCCTTAAAGCCTGTAAACCCGTGGCAAAGCTTCCAAGCCACCCGAAAAAGCATGAGCACCCACTCCCAGATACCTCACACGTCCTAACCCTACTCCTCTAGACTCTAGACCCTAACCCTAAACCCTAAACCCTTCGAAGCCATTTGAGGCTGAGGGTCAAAAGGGAAGCCTGCGAGGCCTGGGAATGTGGAAGGGCTGAGGATTTGGCTTTAGGAAATTTAGGACTTCAAGCTTGTGGTTGTTCTTGTGCTTATTGATATGGACATTGTTGTTACTACTGTTGGTATGAAGGGCACTTGATATTTGTTAACCCGAAAGCTCGGACCTTAGCAGCCCCGCGCGAACCAGCTCCTTCTGTGCACCGGGCCGTGATGACCTGGGAAAGAGGCTGAGACCATAAATTGGTTGAGAAGATTTCAGAATTTATGGGGCGCACTGCTGTGCCATCTTGGCCGCGAAAGACCTCTGTTGACGGCGTTGTTTTCGGAGAGCGCATTTTGTCGAACTAGTCACGGTCTGACTGATTGCATTTAAGACTTAGGATGACTTTCGCGTCGCTGGTTTTGGCCATGTGGTGAGGATGACCCCTTGGTGCAGAGCATCGTTGTTAAGCTCCCTTCTACCTTTACTAATGTCCTCGAACGCTAAATCCTAAATTCGATGGTGCAGGAAGTGTGGGAATGGAGCAGGTGCTGGTGTTCGATGCTGGCAGTAGCGGGACCCGCCGCTGGGCCTCCGAATTGTCAACGACTGCTTGAGTCTAGCCCACAGGGGTTCAGGTTAAGGCTAGTTTTGCGAAAATGCGAGAATCGCAATGGTCCTGTGCATGGAACGAAACATGCCAAAAGAACTTCTCATGAATTACTGAAACTAGAACCATAGCCCGCAACCTCATCTTCAGAGCCCCCTGCTACCTTTCACTACAAGCCCCTACACAGACAAGCCCAGGCATTCATATCTTCAACATGTATGTGCCGACGGCTGATGCTCATGTGCCGAGAGCCTCGTCCTAATGGGTTCAGAGGAAAGGGAAGCTGAAGTAAAAGCAGATCTGGTAACAACAAACAGCTGCAGATCGTTGGCACAGAGAACCAACATCACCTTCATAGGAACGCAAATTTTATCGCGTGCTGTTAACATTGTTCCATACCTCGTCTTCCCTGTCTTAACGTAGCAGTATGCATTCAAAGCCAGTGTTCGATACTCTGCCGGAGTCACATCTCAGGAGTGGACCTCGCTGTCCGAGATGCGCAAACTTGGAAGGCACGTAGTTTCGTTTTGCGAAGAAGCCCGGGCAGACTCTGCGTGCATGATGGCTGAGAAACTATGTGGTGGGTGGTGTGGGGGTCACTGCCGGCGAGCCTGTGGCAGACATTGGAAACTATGATGTAGCATGTGGATTCCGGAGGTGGGTCATCATCCTTCGGGGCTATGAGCACGCCTTAAGCGATTTCCGTTCCTACGATGCTCGCTACGGCTACGGTTCTTGCCAGCATTGCCAGCATTCTGTCTAGTACCACTACTTTTCTGCGTTACGGTGCTATTCATGCTTGGCTTCTGCTCACCACAGTTCCTGCATCAACTCTACACCCTGAAGGCCCTGAACTGGAAAATCATGGCAAACTGTCCAAGTGGAGATACTCGTTCGTTGAATCTTCTCGAGGTCTCTACTCGGAGCAGTAGTTTTGGTGGGTCGTTCAACATCAAGCCAGGTAGAACCATTATATAATACTTCTAGTGGCGCTTTTTGTATCACCATGTAAGCATAGACAGTCGCATTCGAGATGCGAGTCGGTTTGCTTGCAAGGGGATGGTTGTGCTGCATGTCATGGTTGCCCGAAGCGAGCTCGCGAGCATGAGTCTGATGCATGAGCGTGCGTGCTCGGAACCGTGTCTCACACTCACAGGCCTTTCGTGAGGATCAACTAGGGAGTCGGACCCAGGTTTAAGTTCGGTTGTCTTCAAGGAGGGCTACTGTCATTCAGGCTTTCTTTACCGCTTTTTCAAGCGCGGTTGTGCTTGAGTTTTAGCCTGCTTTGACGGCCGTTGTGCGGTTAGTCTGTTCGCTCTTCCCGCCGTGCGAAGCATTGCCTGTTTGTCTGCAGGCCTCGCCTGGACTTGTCCGAGTGCGAGTGTCAAAACAAAGAAGGCGCTGAATTTTGGAAAAGAAACTCGGCAGGTGAAGCCTGGGCTCTCGGAGTTCGCCAAGAAGGAGGACCTCGATGGTGCGCGACCGCTTCCTTTGTTTTGATCTCCAGGGGGCTTAGGTAGGGCAAACATAGAACATGACGTACTAAGATACATATTTCAGTAAGGCTTAACGCTTTAGGGCGTAAGGTTTTGCATTTGCCTGTGGCTTCAGTCTCCGGGTGCCGAGTATTCGGTGGCTCTAGCCCGAAATGAAGGAAAGGATCATTACTAACTTTTCTTGTGGGGCCTACGGGTGTTTAGGATGGAGCAATGTGGGTTTTGGTTCTCAAAGCTAGAATCACAAGATGAACCCGTGCCAAAGTGAAGATGACGGCTGTTGTGCCGTTGGAAAAACTGGTCCAGGTCTCGCACGTACCAAAAACGAGACGATTGAGTTGCAGACGTTTTCGCTGAGCCCAAGCCTACACAACAGATCTCAGCTGCGAAGCCTCAGCTGTGCAGAGAGTTTCGCCATGGCGTCCTTGACGGTTAGTGCTGATCTGGTGAACTTCTCCGAGGAACTGGCTGATGCTGCCGGGAACGTGATTCGACAATACTGGCGCAAGCCGGTTGAGGTGGAATCAAAGCTGGAGTATGACCGACCCGTGGCGGAGAGTCCTGTGACCATCGCAGATCGTGAAGCAGAGAAAGCCATGCGGGACCTCATCGAGCTAAGGTATCCCAGCCATGGGATCATCGGCGAGGAGTTCGGCAGTCTCCGGCAAGACGCGGAGTGGGTTTGGGTCCTGGACCCCATCGATGGCACCAAGTCCTTCATCACAGGAAAGCCTCTCTTCGGCACCCTCATTGCTCTTCTACGCAATGGGGTGCCTGCGCTGGGCATCATTGACCAGTGCGTGCTCGGCGAGCGCTGGCTGGGCGCCAATGGCCGCACCACTCTGAATGGGAAAGCTGTTCAGGCGCGTGGTGCTGCTCGTTTGGAAGATGCGATGATGTATGCGACCACGCCCCACATGTTTGGCCCGGGGCATGAGGAGCAGCGCTTCTCAGCGATTCGGAGCCAGGTGAAGCGACCCCTCTATGGCTGCGATTGCTATGCCTACGGACTGGTGGCGTCAGGGTTTGGAGCAGATCTCGTCATCGAGGCAGACCTCGGCATTTACGACTACTGTGCCTTGGTCCCGGTTGTCATATGTGCCGGCGGCCGGATGACGGACTGGAGTGGCCAACCGCTCACTTTGCAATCGCATGAGTTGTCACGGGGAAGAGTCGTGGCTGCCGCAAACGACACACTGTGGAAGGCCGCTGTCTCGATCCTCAGCATGGAGGAGAAGGCAACTACGGCGCTGTCCCGCCCGTGTTTATCCTCACTGCTTCTAGGAGCTGCGTTGGGCGCCGCATCTGTTGGAGCTTTGGCGCTTCTTCGTCGCTGATTCGTGAATTCCCCTGAGCTTCAAGTTTTCCACTAGAGCTTGCGTGGGTATTGTGCGTGAGCGACTCAATGCTCATATCGCCTACTCCACTGGAGTTCAAGCGAATCTTCGGAGGAATTTGGCTTCGTTCAGGTGCAGCCTGGAAGACCCAGGAGTGCGTGCGACGCCGTAGCAGCCAAGCACGCTTGGAAGAAGCCTTCTGCGTTTATCCAGCTATGGTTTCGCTATAAAATTGCTGCACATGTCACACTGACACACCGACGACGTCTTCCAAGAAAAAATAGCCGCTGCCAGCCTACTGGCCTTGCCGCCTTGGTCCCTGAATATCGGCGGACAGGCCTCTAGGCTCCCACATGTAGAACTGTCGCACGTTAGTTGCCTCTTGAGCATTTGATCCGACGTGTTTTTGAGCCGGTTCTTGCGGTCATGGCAGTTGGTTGGTCCTTGCGTTTGTGTCTAATGAGATCGGATGCTGCTCATTGTGTCACGCCGGCTTCGAACCTATGGACCTGGCATGTCCGAGTTGTGAGAGCACAAAAAGCCGTTACAACTGCTCGCTGGGCTTCGCGAGTAGATGTGTGAGTCTCTGGTCATCAGGGCACGCACGTCGAGCCTGGGCAATAAGCCTTATAGTACAGGCCTTTCCTAAGCCCTAATCCCTTAACAGCCTTAGCCTGAAACCCTGGAGGCAAAAAAGCCGTAGATGCTACCTACATCCCCAAAACCCTACCGGTGGTTCAGGCTGCAGGCTGAACATCGAAGACCTGGCAACTTGTCCGTAGAAAAGCTTTTGCTTGCGAGAGCTTCCTTAAGCTACAGACGGATCCCTCATGTGTTCCAGGTAGATTCCTTAATCAAAGTCTTTTGTGTCCCAGCCTTCAATTGGTGTTGAATCGTCTTCCCTGTGCTCAGGTAAAATTTGCCAACCAGTTCGTGGCTGAAGAGCGCCGCTCGAAAACTCCCGTCCTGCTGAAGGTTGGCCTCCCATGGCTTTGTACGTTGCACTGGGTCATGTACAGGGGAGAGTTTGCGAAACCTAAAATGGCACACAAATAGTGCGATCCTTCGTACGCAGACCTGGAATCGTGGAGCCTTCGTCGATACGTGTGTAGGAACCTCGAAAGGTGCCTTGGGCCTGGGATCCGATGTGGGGGGGGCGGTGGGGGAGGATTGGTGCGCCGGATCTAGGCTACCAGTGCTCGCCGAATCGGAGGTCTAAGTCTTGAGACGAGCGTTGTTTTGGTTCTTTTACGATTGAGCTTATTGGTGGGAACCGAATATGACTGTAGACCTAGGCCCCAATGCCACAATCATACAAGGAGTCGTCTTGTTGGGCCCTGCAAAAGTCGGAACCGTCAGCATGGATAGAAGAGCACCTGTCCTAGAGAGCGAGACGAAACGGAACCCATACACGGAAAGAGCTTTCTGCACCTTCTGTTCCAATGGATCTGTCTGTCAAAATGTTTTAACAGCAAGTTGAATGCCCATGAATGGCATCGCGGAGAATGTACGGTATGGTCACACTTGCAAGCATACTGAAACATGTTATGCTTATACAAGCAAATATACATACTGTCTGAGCATATGTATACAGTATACACACGTACGCGTACGTAATTAGTGTATGTGTATATATATATATAGATATATATGTATTTTTTATTTTTTTAAGTATGTATTTCACAGGGCAAACAAGCAAGCATGCATGCATGAAAAAAGCAAGCTAACAGGCAGACAAGCAAGCAGACAGACAGACAGACGGATAAGCAAACAAACATACATACATACGAATATGCAGAAGCCCCAAACCCCAAAGCCCGGAAAAACTCTAAACCCAAAGTAGACATCCAAGTACACTGCGCTTTGCAGGCGACTGCGGGCCTTCGAGCAGTTCCCGAGGCCAAAGCAGACGCGGTGCTCAGAACGGCCGCCCAGCAAGAGCTGAGAGATATTTAGGGGTTTAGAGGTTTAGGGGAAAGGGGTTTAGGGGTTTAGGGTTTAAAGGAGGAAGAGTAATAGTTGAAGGGTTCAGGCAACAAGGAGAGTTGAAAAGCGGCAAGGTCAACAAAGAGCAAAGTTGAGCGGTTTCGGGTTTAGGCTCTTCGGGTTCGGAGTTGAGTTTTGGATTGGAACTCAAGAACAGGAACTAGATCCAAGTCCTTGAGTGGAACCCCCACCCCCCTCCCCCTTATTTTAGAGGGTATTACCTGGAGGAACCAAGATAAAGAACGAAGTTGACATTGAAGGTTTGCAGTTTAGAGCTTTGGGAAATACGGGCTTAGGGTTCATTGGAAGGGTTACCAGCAGGCTTACTTTGTAAGCAAGGATGACGGCTTTACTCAGGGTTTAGGAGTTTGCGAGGCATAGGGCGTTAGGGTTTTGCTTGCATAGGATATACGGTTGGGAGTTGGAGCGATTGCATGTGTTTACCCATCCGCTCCAGGCATAGACACGTGCACACCCGCATGCCTACACGCACACAGACGCCCACATGCCCGCACGACAGCGTTTGGCATGTGCAGACACATGTCCGTGTAAACGATATCATAGGCTTACGTAGAGCATTGTTTGTTGATAAGTCCTGCAACGTGCAACCTGAAACTCGCAAAGTGAAGAACTTATATAGCTTAAGTTGCCGCAATAGCTAGCTATAGCAACTATAGCAAGTATAACAGTCGTTCCCCTATTATGACTATGGTAGCTTGCTAAGTCATTGAACACTTCTTCGAACCCTAACAAACCCCGATAACACTCTCTGTAAAACAAGAACCCCGATGTGGGACTCCCGGGGGGGCAGGTCCGCTCCACCTTGAAAGACTCGGGCTATCAGTTTCAAGACGCGCCTCCTGGGAAAAGCACTTGTTAGGTTTGCGGTTTTGGATTTCGTATGGCCTTCTGCAGGACTACAGTTTTCTAGGCCACTTACTTAAGGAATATGGTTCAAACTATGGAGTTTTACGTAAAAGGCTCAATTCTATGGAGTTTACTTCGTTTTGTTGCGTCCTTCGTGGCTTCGTGGTTTTGTTGTAGGACTGGCCAGGATCCGCAGTTGCGGAACATGCCTAAACTGTAATAGAGGACCGTAAAAAAAAGGGCATGAGGTCTGGCCAGTAGGTATGTGCGAAACACTGATGTTAAGCCTGTTAAGTTTTAACTCAACACTAAGTGGATCAAGCCAACAATCCTCGGGGGTTGTGCAGGGGCTTGAGGGCGTTATGGCCGCAAGAGCATACAAACATACCGCATTAAAACCTACCCCTTGACCGAAAATCCTTCATTGGTTTATGCTTGGTTGTTGTGTCGGTTCCTATCTCGGATCTATGGGACGAGGGGCCTAATTTGAAGGAGTCTGATCTTCAGGCCATTACTCAATTCCGGCTTCAGGGGCTCCTACCCCTCTAAACCCTCACCCTCCCTAACCCCAAAGCATTGAACCAGAAGTCTAGATCCTAAAGCCCCAGACCCTCAAAATCACACCCTCCTGCCCAAATTCTCTACCAATGAACTGCCCCAAGCCCTAAGTCCTACAAAGCGAAGATACCCAAAGCACAGCAAGCAGTCACATCGAACAACGTCAAAGAAGAGTCCTTATAATATAACGTGTAGTCTATTTACATTCTACAATACATGGTAATTAAAGTATATGTTCGGTATACTGTATGATATGGACAAATATGTAGTTCGAACAGCTTTCCGCTGAGTCGTGGGCCGACATCATCAAGGGCAAGGACCAAGGGGGTTTCGAGTTTTGCGGTGCTTGTTCCGAAGGTCCTGTACACGAGAAACATGCCGAATTATGTTGGGGCTTAGCATTATAGGCAGATAGACAGATAGATAGATAGATACATGGATCGATTGATGGATAGATAGACAGAGTCTATCTGGCACTCTCTGCCTTTTGCGTTTGTGGGCATACTTACGCTTGTCTATGTCAACGTGTGTCGCGTAGTGGCATATTACCGAGGGCATCATGCAGGAAAAACGTTGCTGCGTTCTGAGGCCCTTATCCAAGCGAGCCACACTGCTTCGCCAAATGGCTGTTCTGTAGGTCTTTAGGTGTTACTAAAGGGCTTACTATCATACTCGCCACAGCATGATGCAATAGTAGAAGGCCCCCCCCTGAAGACCCTGAACATGTAACCAAAGCGTAATTCTAGGCCAGCATCCATAAAGGCCCCAAGAAGTCTGAAGCTATCTAAAGCCCTTTTTGTCTCCCAAAACAAGCTTTTTCAACCTTCTAACAAACACTCACTTCAAACGAGCTCTTCAGGAGGTTTGGATAGATCTGTGAATAGCAACCCCTTCAAGAGAACCCCGCGCCCAACAAATTCAGGTGATGGAATTGAAAAGCTTGATTGGAACCTTCCTGCTAGATCCTCTGATCTTGCAAGTAAACCAGAGAAAATCTTGTAAGACCCCTGTAGGTAACTCGCAGGAAGAGGCCGCCCTTGCCTGGATCGCAGCAAACTACCTGCGGGGCAGCTTCGATGTGGCCGCGGAGCTGGAGAAGTACGGCAGTTTCTGCGGCGTATAGAGTGAGAATGAGAGTGAGAGAGAGAGAGAGAGAGAGAGAGAGAGAGAGAGAGAGGACCGCGGGTGCGCGCTCGCGCGCGGAGGATTCAGCTGGACCGCCGTTTCCTCCAGTCCCTGTAGAGAGAGAGAAAGAGAGAGAGAAGCCATTTTGGCTCAAGTGCCGCGCCTTTGCTCGGG